GAAGTTTAAATTTTGTAGTATAAATAGGCTAATCATAGTAAAATTATACGAGACGTGTTTTAAAGATATTCGAGATTTAGTCGAGGTATGTTATATTTGGTGTTATTGAAATATGGCAAAAAATATTGGTCAGTAATTTAATCTTTCCTAACTCTCTGGGTTCAGTAGTTCATAGAACGCTGCACTGATATCAACTGATTGCTTATTATTTTTCGAAGCATTTCGTAATATACATAATTAAGGTTGCTTGAATTTGTAATATTTTCGAAGTAAGATTAGAAAGATTAAATTACTGACCAATATTTTTGCCATATTTCAATAACACCAAATACAACACACCTCAACTAAGTGTCGAATATCTTTAAAACACGTATCGTATAATTTACTATGAAAGCCTATATATACTACAAATTTAACTTCGAAACTATTCCAAATTCAAACAACCTTAATTCTATTACGAAAAGGTAGAAAAATATGAAAATCAGTTGATGACCGTGCAGACTTTTATGAATTTCAAAACCTGAGAGTTAAAGAAGATATTAAATTATGTCAATACTTTTGCCATATTTCAATAACACCCCATTATAACACACCTCGACTAAATTTCGAATATCTTTAAAACCCGTCTCTGCATAATTTTACTATGATAGCCTATTTATACTACAAAATTTAAACTGAGAATATTCAAATTCAAACAACCTTAATTCTAATACGAAAAGCGTCGAAAATATTAAGCAATCAGTTGAAATCAATGCAGCGTTCTATGGACTACTAAAACGCTGATAGTTAGAGAAAGATCAAATTACTGACCAGTATTTTTTGCCATATTTCAATAACACCCAAATATAACACACCTCACTAAATCTCGAATATCTTTAAACACGTCTCGTATAATTTTACTATGATAAGTATTCTATACTACAAAATTTATAACTTCGAAAATATTACAAATCAAGCAACTATTATGTATATTACGAAATGTTCGAAAAATAATACAATCAGTTGATATCAGTGCAGCGTTCTATGAACTACTGAACCCGAGAGTTAGGAAAGATTAAATTACTGACCAATATTTTTGCCATATTTCAATAACACCAAATACAACACACCTCAACTAAGTTTGGTCGAATATCTTTAAAACACGTATCGTATAATTTTACTATGATAGCCTATATATACTACAAAATTTAAACTTCGAAACTATTCCAAATTCAACAACCTTAATTCTAATACGAAAAGCGTCGAAAAATATTAAGCATTCAGTTGAAATCGTAAAAGCGTTCTATGAACTACTGAACCCTGAGAGTTTGAAAGATTAAATTACTGACCAATATTTTTGCCATTTTCAATAACACCAAATACAACACACCTCGACTAAATTCGAATATCTTTAAACACGTCTCGTATAATTTTACTATGATAAGTATTCTATACTACAAATTTAACTTGAAAATATTACAAATTCAAGCAAACCTTAATATGTATATTACGAAATGCTTCGAAAAATATAGCAATCAGTTGATATCAGTGCAGCGTTCTATGAACTACTGAACCCAGAGAGTTAGGAAAGATTAAATTACTGACCAATATTTGCTTCATATTTCAATAAACCAAATACAACACACCTCAACTAGTGGTCGAATATCTTTAAAACACGTATCAAATTTTACTATGATAAGCCTATATATACTACAAAATTAAACTTGAAACTATTCAAATTCAAACAACCTTAATCTAATACGAAAAGCGTCGAAAATATTAAGCATTTCAGTGAAATCAGTAAAGCGTTCTATGAAACTACTGAACCCTCAGAGTTTGAAAGAATTAATTACTACCAATATTTTTTGCCATTTTTCAATAAACCAAATACAACCACCTCGACTAAATTTCGAATATCTTTAAACACGTCTCTATATTTACTATATATAGTTATTCTTACTACAAATTTATACTTCGAAAATATTACAAATTCACAACCTTAATGTATATACAATGCTTGAAAATAATAAGCATCAGTTGATATCAGTGCAGCGTTCTATGAACTACTAACCCAGAGAGTTAGAAAGATTAAATTACTGACCAATAGTTTTTGCCATATTTCAATAACACAAATACAACAACCTCAACGAAGTTGGCTCGAATATCAACTCTTCTTCTTTTT